TTTTTTTTTTTTTTTTTTTTTGAGACAGAGTCTTCCTATATAGTTGAGACTGACCTGGAACTCACTATGTAGTCCAGGCTGATCTCAAACTCACAGCAACCCTCCTGCCTCAGCCTCCCAGTGCTGTGATTACAGACATGCACCACCATGCCCGGCCAAATGCTTATTTTTTAAAAATCAATATACTGCTTGCTTTAAATTGGCCCTATGGGCTGATATTTATGCACCTGCTGTTGGCTGTCTGCTTCTCCTCCCAGCTCTCCCAGCCATCTATACTCAGCATTTTCACCGCAGCTCCACAAAATGCATTATTGCTATTCTCTCCCCTGTGCTTACTCATAGACCCTGCTTTCTTCATTTTTCTACTTTCCTGTTTTCAGTTGAGGACCAGAGGGTTGGATATATGTATTCAGATTCAAACAAAAGAAGTCTCTCCTGCCAACTGAATATTAATGAAGAGAGGTCCCTAGAAGGAAATGTTTAAGCCAAAGGTATGAATTCAACAAACACTCCTGCAGGTAAAGGGCCCTATAGAAAGATCTCAGGCATTGAGGGAACAGGGTGATGGACAGATTTTTCAGCAGGACATTTTCTGGACCTCTTGGCTCCACCCCATCAGGAGGCCACCCACCCACCTTGTCCTTACCCAGCATGGCAAAGAGACTGGGGCTTGTGGCCATCTGAACTTTCTCTGCCTGCACGCCCTTTGCTTCCTTGGGAAGAGGCCTTGAGAGGCACCAGGCCACAGTCAGCCCGAAATAGGCTGCAAACACGTGGATGTGCGCCATGCTTCTGTGGTCATCCATCTGCAATGAAAGGTAGCAGGAGCTGGGAGGGTCCCCTCTGCCCCCGTCAGGCCTGATGTTCTTGAGAGAAAGTTCTGCACTTGGTGTAGGAGGCTTGAGTTGAAGTCATGAGACTGGTCCAGCAGCCAGCTTTCCCCTTAGAGGAGCCCAGGAGCAGCCGAGGGGGATTGCATGGTCTTTATCAGTAGCTCCTACTTGCTGCTGGCTGAGGTTCACTTAGGTGGGGCAAAAAGCCACAGAGACACACACCTACTTCTTCCTCCTTCTCAGCAGAATTTCAACTCTGCATGGAGCCATGAGCGATATAAACTCTATGACATGAAGAAGCCAGGCTTCTTATAATACCAAATTCAAGTCTTTAGGAAATCTAGGCACATGCTAATTTTGCTCCATGAATAGCAAGTTAAGCAGTCCTAAAAAACTCACTTAGTGGGTTACTGGTAAAGGCTGTCAGCTGCGCCTTTCAAAAATATCCAGAGCTGGCAGACTTTTTACCACCATCCATCACTTGGTTGAAGCCCCAATCAATGCTGCCACCAGTTCCTTCAATAGGTCTTACTCTTGCTGCACCCCACAGGAAGACGCTGTGCAATCTGCTCTTGTTGTAACCTCTCTGACCTCCTCCCTGCAGCACCCTTCTTTCCATGTTCTCCTCTCTCTTCCTTGCCTGAAGTCTGACCAGCCAGGTCATCCAGCCACCTAGAAAGTGCCCCACCCCAGCAGAGGCAGAACAAGGCCAGGTGCAGGGAGTGCCTGTCCTCAGAGCAACAGCAAGGAGATGCCTCGTCCATGGAGGATTCCAAACCCTACTAAAGCCAATCAATGGTCCATCCATGTTAGCTTTTCTGATGCAGGAGATCCAACCCAGGGCACTCACACTGAATTACATTCTCAGCCCTTTTAAAAATTTTGGCCTTGAGACAGGGTCTTGCTAAATCACTAAGTTGTCCAGAGCGGGCTCAAACTTTCCATCCTCCTGCCCCAACTCCCAGAGTGCTCAGATTACAGGCATGTACCACCACACCGTTCACTTTTTATCATCATGCTGTGTCAATACTTTTAAACAGCACTGGTAATAAAGTAGTCCTCTGGGAAGATCTACTCCTACGCCCTCCCGGGGGATGACCCTGTTCTCAGACACCCTGTGGGGTGTGCAATTGTCTTTCAGGTCTGTCCTCAAAAATTATCTACCCACTGAAGTCTTCCCTGCCTGCTCTGTCTAACATTTTATCACTTCCCTCAACTCTTCCTATGTCCTTCCTCTGTTGTATTTTTTTTCTCTATAGTACTCGTCACTATCTAACATGGATGCCTTGCCAAACCCCTTGCCTATTTTCCTGCTTACTGAAAACTTTCCTTCTGGAATGGAAGTTCCATGAGACTTGTAAACTGGCTCTGCCACACGAGTTCCTGGTACATAATACATACAAAATAAATACTGTGAAATGGCTAAATGATGCTTGCAAGGAGCCTTTGGTCATATGGAAAGATGCAGTCTATGTGTGAAAACTGAAAATGGACTTTTAAAAGCTCCATGAGGGTAGGGATTTAGCTCAGTGGTGCCACACCTACCTGGCAAGTGCAAGGTCCTGAGTTTGATCCTGGTATTGGGGATTGGGGGGTACTCCAATGGCCTTTTCTCAACCAACATGACCCTGGTTCTTCCTGAGCCCTTCCACTGAACAAGCCCAGGCTAAAGCTTTAAGGACAGTGAACTCTCCAAATCAGTGGCAAACTTTCCCTAGACCAGTTAAACCAAGTTGAAGTTGTAGAGAAAAGAGATGGCCTTAAAACAATGCAGCCTACACAGGGACCCTATCTCCAAATACCATCGCATTAGAGATTAGAGCTTCACCATATACATTTTGGGAAGACACAAATATTCAACCCATAACAATAGTTCTTTCCAAGACAATTTTATAATTAAAATAAGTATAGAGATAGTAAGAAGTAAAGTACTCTGGATTCGAATTCTAAAGATTTAAGTTATGTTACAATTACCTATGTGTCTTTGAGTTAGACATCCAATCTTTCTCCATTTCTTCTATGTGTTAAAATGAAACCAGTGAATGTGAAATAGGAAGAAAAGGTCTAAAGGTGTAGGGAAAGTGGGAAGGGTAGTGGAAAGGTAATAAGGGAAAAAAATAGGAGAAAATGAAAACATGGAAATAAAGTGTTTGTAAACGGGGAGGAGGAGGTGAAGGGAGGGCAGGGATGGGGAGAAAAATGAGAACCAAGACCTATCATGTAAAGGTACAAGATCCCAATGATGAATGTAACTGTACTGTATACCTAAAATGCACCAATAAACACAATGAGAGAAAAAAAAAACAAAAAACAATGTAGCCTATTTAAATGTTGGTTATAAAGACCATATCAAAATTGGCTGGGGATTCATCTCAGTGGCGCTGCACCTGCCTCACAAGCGCAAGGTCCTGAGTTTGATCCCCAGTACTGGAAAAAAAAAAATCAAAAAAGTTTATAGTGTGCAGCTCACAGTAGTGACTGTTTTCTCTCTCAGATACACTCTGCCCCATTTCAGTACTGGAATGGGACCCAGGACCTTCACACTGAACTGCATCCCCAGCCCTTTTTATATATTTTATTTTGAGACAGGGATTCACTAAGTTGCTAAATTGCCCCGGTGGCCTCGAACCTGCTTCTTGAAGGCCATCCATGTCTTACTGTATGGACATCCATGCAAGTCTCAGACCCAAGCAGATGAACTACCCAATGGACTAATCAGATTCCCTCTCCTTGGACTCTACAAAGGAAACCAAGAGAGAAGACTGTTGTTTCTGCAAGATGTGAGACCTAGAAATGAAAGAAAAAAATGGAGAGGTTGGGGTGGAGCAGACATTTTTCACTGAAGAGAAAGTTCATGTGCAGAGAGGAATGAAGCCAAAAGGTGGAGAGCAGGATCTACCTGGGATCTTAAAGGCTTCTCATGCCATTACAGCCCTGAGTCTGATAATGGACTTCCTGAGTCTAGCCGCACATTTGGCCCTTGGAGGTCCTTATCCTAAATTCCTCTCATTCCGCCTAAGAAAGCCTCAGTGACATTTTCTTCCCTGAAACCAAGGAGTTGTGATCAATCCTTACATTAAGCAGAGAGAAAAGCAGAAAAGGGGAGTGTCCTACATGAATCTGTGAGCCCACAGTGATATAAATAAACAGATGAATGAAGGAATGGAGAAGAGAAAGCTCTTCCTCCCAGAAGAATGCCAGCTAATGGTTATAAAAGGGAAGGTGGAGTTAGAAAATCAGTACTGGCCACAGTCAGAGTGCTGATTGGTTCAGGCTAGAATCAATGGATGCTAAACCAAGGGGTGAAAGTTTGTTGAGAGGTAAGATACTTCAGGACGTTATCTTCCCACAAGGTGTTTATTCATTTCAAAAGGGAAAATAGCAACTTTACAATGGAAAGAGCCTGGCAGAGTCACCTTAACCAAGAGATCAAAGTAAATGTGCCCATTAACGGGACAGAGTGACAGCCCGTCTCCTGATATGAGGTACTGTATGAGAAGAACGTGCCTTACCTTTGTGGAATCCCTGCCCCAGTGCGCACCTCTAACCATGAGGAAATGGTAGGCAAGCCCACATTCTGCAAGATATCGAGCCTGTAACTTCAAAACATGTCAAGGCCATGAAAGATAAGAGAGCTAACAAACTGGTCCAGATGGGTGGATTTTAAAAGACACGACAACTAAACCCAAAGGGTTATTCAGGACCAGAATCCTGCTAGACAGGATATTATTAGAATGGCAAGTGAAATTTGAATACGGTATTCATATTGTTTCAATGTTAATTTCTTCATTTTGTTAACTGAGCGATGCTTATGTAAGAGAACGCCCGTTTTTTTAAGAAAATATCCTGAAGGCTTTAGAAGTTAAAGGAAAGTCAGAGATACAGATCTCTGGTCTCCTCTCCAAGCAACTCCAGCCACCAGTGAAGAACCCACCACCACAGTTTCTCTGGCTGTACTGATCCGGCTGCTTCCTGGTTTCAAAGACGCCAGCACCCGCCCTTCGGCCTCTCTCCATCACTTTTCTGAAGGGTCGTGTTGGTCTGTCCAGCTTCTCACCTCCCTGTTCCTTGGCCCTTTCTCCTACCTTACAGTTCTGCCACCCACATCTGCCATCGTACCAGTAGATGGGGCACCTCCGAAATAGGTCCTGTCTATCCAGCTCGCTTCCCTAGTCTCCACTTCAACACCAGCCAACGGGGCCCGATGATGACGCAGAAAATGTGGCACTGCCACGGCGTGCACCCGGTGCTAGGCCCTGTCCCCAGTGCTTGACCCACTTGTGGGGTCCTCCGAGCAGGTGTAGGTGTGGGCGTTGTTATTATCTCCAATCTGCAGACAGGGAGATCAGCGTAGATGAGAGTAAGAGAGGTTAACTAAGGTGCCTGAATCCGCTCAGCTGTTGCAGGTTGAACTGAGATTTGAACCCAGGCCAACTGGCTACAGAATCAGAAGACGACTCCCCATTCCCATATCCATTGTCACATTCTCATCCCTTCAGATCCCATGGCTCTCTGTGATGCTCTTTCCCTTGCAGGCAGCCCCTTGGTCTCTCTTCGGCTCTGGGTTCTCTCTGAGCACTGCCCCAGCCTGGGCACACTGCTCTGTCCCTCTGCTTCTCCCATGCCTGTCCAGAAGCAGCTACACATAGGCCTGGGCACTGGAGCGCATTCTGCATCTACATGCCCTCAAGCCCCAGCAGGTCCCTGATGCCAGCCTGCAGCCTGCTGCACCTCTCTGGTCTGCTCACTCTCCTCCACCCTTGTTGCTCGTCATTTGTCATCTTCCCTCCCCTCGCTAAGGCTCTTGACTTAGCATTGTGTTTCTTCCAAGAAAATACAAACTATAAGTAGAGACTTTTGTCCCTGCAAGAGAATGCACCTGTGATGCCCACCACTGATCCTGCCAGCCCGCCCAGCCTCTGCCCTCCCTGCCAAAGGCGGCAGCCCCAGAAACCTCCTCCCTTTCTCCAACTCAAAAATGTGCCTTTGCAATTCATCCTTCTGTGTTGTTAGTGTCTCTACTTACTGTATTTTTCTAATTGGTGTGTAGGCATCACCTACCTTAAACAAACAAAATCCCCCAGCTTCTATTCCATGTCTCTGTTCCCCTTTAGTACAGAAATCCTTAGAAGAGTGGTCTGAGCATTGTCTCCACACTCTAATTTCCTGCTCGCGAGCCAATACAGTCAGGCCTTTGCTCCCATCTTCCTCCCAAATCTGTCTGCTGAGGTTCCCTTGCCACATCTTCTGGTCACTCCCCAGCCTTGCTTGACCCTTCTGCAGCATTCGATCCAGCTTCAGCACCCCCTTGACCGGTGCTCCAGGAATCCAGCCCTTCCTGGCGATCCTCCGCTCAGCCACTCCTCAGGCATCTTTGCTGGTTCTTGTTCCTGTCCTCATCTAAAATTTGCAATGCTCTAGAATTTGGTGCTCTGACTTCTCCATACCTCTCTTTACACTCATGCCCTGGGTGGTCACCCCCAGCTGCACGGATTTAAGCACCGTCATTACCCAAAAAACTCCCATCTCTGTACCCCATTCTACCTTTCCACTGTGCCTCACACGTGGACATTTCATTCAGTGACTTCACTGAGGTGGCCATTGCCACACATCGGGACCCTAAACACTCCACATTCCAGACTGATCCCTGGAGTTTTCCTCCCAGATCTATAAGGTATGATTTAGAATAGTGAATGTATAAATTTTGCAAAGTATTACAGAAAAGATATATTATCATTAATTCTTCCTCAAAGTACTCCCTCCCCACTTTGGACCCACTTATCCCATTGTTCTTGAGTGTCTTTATGAGGTGTAATAAAAAAAATACAGCAAATGCCATTGCCGCGTGCCATCCAGTAGAAAGGCAGGCTTGTAAAAACATTAATGTGTTCTCATCCCTGTTATTAACTGGATCCAGCACCATGCAACTTCTGGCTCTTTCCCAAAGTCAAAATGACAATGAAAGGAAAATGTTTTTCATTTGTTTTTTGTTTGTTTGGAGGCAGGGTCTCACTATGTAGTTGAGACTGACCTGGAACTCACTATGTAGCCCAGGCTGGTCTACAACTCACAGAAGTCCTCCTGCCTCAGCCTCCCGAGTGCTGGGATTACAGGCATGCGCCACCACGCCCAGCAAAAGAAAAATGTTTTGAATTGATTCATGTTATGGTTTGCTTCTGGATGTTGCCCCAAAGCTTCATGGAGTCATAGGTGGGGCTTTTTTGGGGGGGCTGGATCTAGAGTGTGTGACACTGGGATTGATTCATGGTGCAATGCGAGGATCAAGGGCACTAGGATTGAGGGTGAGAGTGCTACTCTCCCTAAGAAGCCTGGATAGGATATAAGGGTTAGAAAGAGCTGTGGTCATCCCTTGTTTGCTTTGCTATGCCTTCTGCCTGCCATGAACTCTTTCTCCTCTTTGATGCCTGTTGGGCATTTTGTCTCAGCAATGAGAAAAAGTAACTAACACAATTCAGGACATCCAGACAGCCACTCCAGTGCAAATGAAGACACAATGAAGGATTTCTGCAACTACTTCAGAAAGCGGCAATAAAAATGGCATAAGTGTGTTTGCATTGAGGGGAAGTATTTTGAAGGAATTAATGGCATTTAATTTTTAAAAATTTAAACACTCATTCTATTTTCTGATCACATTTTGTAGTCTACCCCCAAACACTCCACCTCACCAAGTAGCACTACCATCCATCCAGGTGCCCCACATCAAAAACTTGGAGTTAGTTTGGACCTTTTTCTTTCTCTCACACCCCAGGTAAAAATCTACTGTCAAACCTGTTGATTTTTGCCTTCAAAATGCAGCCAGAACCCAGTCATCTCCCCCAACCCCACAGCTGACACCCCAGCCAAGTCTGGCTCCTTGCAATGTGTGCCTCTCAGGTTTCCAGTACTTCCAGTACATTACCCTTCTTTGCCCCTCTGATCTTTTCTGACCCCAGCTGTCTGAATGTTTCTTTTAAAACTGCAGGTCACGTGACATCACATTTCATCTCTCCTCTGCTCAAAACCCCAATGCTTGCACTTTTCCTGGTAAAATCCAAAGTCCTTACTGAGGGACGTCAAAACACAGCACAGGCCTCATGCCTTGTTCTTTTTTAATACATGCATCATCTTATTGAATTCATCAATTACTCCCCCAAACCCTGTGAGGTCCTAATGTCACCTCAGGCGAAAAGGCTAAAGCTCCAAGAAGTCACACTGCCCTCTCAGAGACTCTACTAGGGACAGACCTAGGATACAAACCTCAGTCTTTGATATCAAATCCAGTGCTCTCTCTCCTAACACAGGGCAGGACCCTGGGATCTCACATGGGCTCTGCTGCTATCCTGTTGTGTGATTTGGAGACAGGGTTTTGCTAAATTTCCCAGGATGGGCTCAAACTTGGAAACCTCCTGCCTTAGCCTGAAATCACAGGCATATGTCACCAGGCCCGTCCAAACCTACGCTTTTGACAGTGTCTCCCACTGGAGGTCGCAGAAGTCACTATTAACACATAGTGACTAGTCTAAAAGAAGATGTCCTAAGCAACTTGCTGGGACCACTGCCAGCAGGGTGCTAGGAACTCATTCTGTTTTCACATGTTTTATACATACCTTGTAAGGAGCACAGTCCTTCAGGCTCATATTTTGGAAGTTGAAGTCCTGATCAAAATTCAGCATAGACCATCTTTTCCCAACCCAATTTGGGCCTTTGTTTTGTTTTGTTTTTTGGGGTTTTTTTTGTTTGGTTTGGTTTGGTTTGGTTTGGTTTTTTGAGACAGAGTCTCACTATGTAGTGAGACTGACCTGGAACTCACTGGGTAGCCCAGGCTGGTCTTGAACTCACAGTGATCCTCCTGCCTCAGCCTCCCGAGTGCTGGGATTACAGGCGTGCACCACCAGGCCCAGCCTGTTTTGTTTTGTTTTGAGACAGAGTCTCACTATGTAGTGAGACTGACCTGGAACTCACTGGGTAGCCCAGGCTGGTCTTGAACTCACAGTGATCCTCCTGCCTCAGCCTCCCGAGTGCTGGGATTACAGGCGTGCACCACCAGGCCCAGCCTGTTTTGTTTTGTTTTGAGACAGAGTCTCACTATGCAGTTCAGGCTGACCTTAAACTCACTATGATCCTTCTGCCTCAGCCTCCCAAGTGCTGGGATTACAGGTTTGCACCACCACATCTGGCTCTGAATTTGTTTTTAAAACCCCAAATCTTCACCCCAAGGGAGCAGTGGGCATCCTCCCTCCTTGCTTCTCATCCCTCTTCTCCAACTCCCCCTTTACAGTCCCTCATGACTCACTTTGAAGACTTGCTTGTAGGTCAACCTCATGGCACCAAAGACTGTCACCTCCACCAGCGCCATCACTGCCAACTGCACCAAGTTGGCCCTCCCCAGGACAGCCCCCGCCGAGATCAGCACTGACATGGCACTCATGGTGGCCAACCGGACACTGGTGGAGAGAAGGGGAGCCAGGTGACCAGGAGAAAGGATGCCTCTCATTCGTTCACTTGCTCCTCCCACCAACACCTTCTTCCTGCCCCTGCTGAAGGTAGGAAAGACAAAAAGACCAGGTTCTACCACTAGGAGGGCTGCTCTGCTGTTCCAAGTGTCCTTCACCCTGTCCCATACCAGGGTGGTGTCTGTGCGCTGAGAAACAGCTTTGCACACACTCATCCTACAGGAGCCACTCCAAAGCTTTTATATATATGTCACTGAGGTAAGATCTCCCTCTGGGGTCTGACACCTGGAACTTTGCCCAGTGCCCTTCCGATCTGTCCTCACTGCTCACAGATGCTCAATAGAGGGCGCTCTGCACCTACTGGCCCGCCTGCTACTCAGTCACCTGGCAGCCTCATCTTCCCTTCTTTTCTGGGTGGTGGAAGGAAACAAGTTTGGAAAAGTACGAGCTTGCTTTCCTCTTGGGCTTTGCCACCTGAGCAGCTATCTAATCTTACTGTGCCTGTTTCTCCTTCCGGAAAATAAGAATGATTATCCTACTTATCTCAGGGTGGTGGGTGGGGATTTGAAGGAACAGTCTCTGAATGCGTGTGTTTAACACCAAAACAGGCATGAAGGACTTGTCATGAACAGAAGCTGGCATCATGAGCACGATCACTGGTCCCTTTCTTTCCTTGACAAATGAGCTTGGAGCATTCTCAGTGTGAGGATTCAGGAGGAGAAAACCTTTTCTTTTTCTTTTGAGACAGGATCTTTCTATAGAGTGTACACTGGCCTTGAACTTGCTGTATAGCCAAGCCTGGCTCTGAACTAGTGACCCTGATGCCTCAGTCTCCCAAGTGCCAGGATTGCAGGTGTGCACCACCACACCTGGCTGAGAAAGCCATTTTTAGCTGACATCTGGGGAGCTAGGACTTTTCTGCCATAAGAATGTCTGTGCTATGTCACAAAGATAGAGGGGTTCCCAGGAATGAGACAGCGTGCCAACTGGACTCCTCAGACTTTCCCGAGGAGGCGGCTCTGAACCGGATAGTCCACTTTCCCTGGAGCATCTGGGAGTTCACGATGCTGCTACAACAATCACAGTACCTATGATAAAAACGATGTGCCACAGGCTTGTCACTATGTCACCACGTTTAAACCCTGATGCTCCGAGAAACCCTCTGTGAAGTGGCGCGGGGTTACTGTGCAGTCCCCCTTTTGCAGAAGAATACACGGATCCTGGAAGAACTGACAGTTCGGGCAATGACCACACTGGCAGCTGAGGACAAATGTGAGGTTCAAACCCAGCTGGCCTGGATCTCACGTCTGTGCTCTGAAGTTAGGTTCACACAGCTTCCCTGCTGTTTGTTGCCAATACGGTTCCTGCTTGAGACTCAAGGACTTCTGAGGGAAGGTCAAAAAGGGAGAGGGTATGGGGACAGGTCTTATGGGGACCAGGAATTATTCAGAATAAGGTTTTATTCCACATGTCATCATGTCACACAGGCTGTGTCTCTTTTATTTTTGTTTTTTGTGGTACCAGGGATCGAACTCGGGCCCTTGCACTTGCAAGGCAGGCTGCAGAACCACTGAGCCAAATCCCAGGCCCAGGCTGTGTCTCTTTAATGAGTGCTCATTTCTCTGACAAAAGCTGTGTGACCCTGGCCAAATTACTTAACCATTCTGTGCCTCAGTGCCTATAAGGCTGAGCAATGCCTCTGGAGTTGTTGTAAAATGAGTTAATACACGTAAAGCACAATAGAGGTGTTGGTTATTGCTATCTTCATCTAGACAGAGTCCTCTGGAACTTTTCAAAATAAAATTGGAAATATCACTCAGGGATAAGGCTATAACTCAGTAGTTCAGTGCTGATCTAGCGTGTGTAAGGCCTGAGTTGATCCCCAGTACAGAAAAAAAAAATTCATTTAGTGATTTAGCGTTCTTTTTGCTTTCACTTCTTGTTTCAATAAACATTTACTAAATTCTTCCTTTGTGAGGAAACAGAGAAGGACAAAGCTCTGTAAGAGAGGTGCCTGGCCTGCAGGTGCTCATGACAGAGCCAGGATAGTGCCAGGTCAAGTGGCCTGGTTTTGAGTGAGCCAGAGACTGACAGAGGCCTGTCAGTCAGGAGGGAGCCTACTTTGCCAACCTGGAAAGCCACTGGGGTAGCGGTCAGAGCTGGGAGGGCCCAGGTCGGGGGGTGCAGGGCACTTGCTCAGGTGCCAATGGCTCCTTTTCGTTTTTTATGGTCCGAAGAGTCAGAAGAGAGCAGCGCTGCTGTACGTACATCTTGCTTGGGCCTGCTAAGGTGCAGAAAGCTGCCAGCTTGTGTAACCTTATGCCACCAGATTAGGGCCAATACTGTCAGAATCCCTCCAGAGTCCCCTTTGTCACCTCCTAGGTGGACACCAGGGGTTATTCGATCCCTGTAAGGCTTAGTTAGCTCTAAAAGTTTTAAGAAGAAAAAATGTGGGGAGTTCCCCCTAACCCCTGGCCACTGAGAAGCTGATTAGACTGTGTTTCATTTGTGAGCACTCTGGAGTCCATGGGAAAGGATACAGGCAGTTAAAAGCTATCTCTACCACTTAGCTGTGTGACTTTGGTCAAGTCCCTTACCCTCTCTGAGGCTTCATTTCCTTACCTATATTTGAGGTTGGACCCCTACCTGGAAGAGTTAAACAAAATATCTGTGAAATATCTAACACAGCGCCTGGCTCACACAGAGTTGTTCAGTGGCAGTGCCTCACAGGCTCTGGGGATTATCATTGTCTGGGCAAGACAGAAATTCAAAGTTGGATAAAAGTTCTTAAGAGGAAACGTTACTTAGTTCCTTTTATCTAGTGCCTCTGAAAGTATGTAGAATAATCATCACTCAGATTAAACCAGTGAACGCTTACTGACCTCATAGGCTACTTCGTACCTCCTCCTCATCCATACCCACTTATCACCCAGGTAACCACTATGCTGACTTCTGTTACCATGGTTTGGTTTAGTTTTGTGAATCTGTAGCATCTCCAGGTATGGCTGCGGTCTGGTTCTCATCCACCATCATCTGAGGACTGACAGTCCTTTCTTTTTTGGAGGAGAATGGTCTCTTCTGGTGTGACATTTGTTTCTTTTTGTCTATTTTCTGTCTGTCTCTTATGCTGGGAATTGAATCCAGGCCCTTGCACATGTTAGGCAAATAGTCTGCCACTAAGCTAACCCCAACCCTCTCTCTTTTGTTTTGAAACAGGGCTGTGCCCAGGATTCTTTGTCTCAGCCTCCAGAGTAGTTGGGATTATATGTATAAGCCACTGCATCCAGCTCTTTCTTAATTTTATACAAACCGTTGTTGATTGTGTAGCTTTACAAAAGTAATAATAATAATAAATATGGAAGAAGCCAGAGAGGGCTGTAGATCTGGAGGTCTTGTGATACCACCCAGTTGAGGTGTCAGAAAAATATGAGGTACCCAGTGAAATCTGAATATTAAACAATGAATAATCTTTTAGAAGTATGTCCTAAATATTGTATAGCATCAGTGCTAGTAAGAAAGGAAGATGATCCCAACTCTTTCAGAACTCCTTGGACCCCATGTCCTCCATGACTCAAAGCAACCCAGCTGCCATTTGTCACCTGGACAGTTTGATGATCACCTTCCCCTGAAAGGTTTGGCTCAGGAAGCCATCCAGCAGGACTGCCCACTGCACACCAAGGGCCAGCAGGAAGAGGTTGAAGGCCACACTGCTCCAGCCTTGTCTCCGAAAATATGAAGTGACGAAGCCTAAGCCAAGGGCCGCCATGATGGTAAAATCCTGGAGGGCTGCTCAAGGAGGAAAAGGGCCAAGAAAAAGAGGAAGCAGATAAAAGAGAGGGAATGTGAAATGAGAATACATAGAATGGCAAGTAGAAGGGACATGTGAGGTCATTTAAGGTACTCGGTCAGGTCACTTTGCTTCTTTGGGCCTCATTTTTTTCTTCTGAACAATGAGGATAACACACCCATACCGGAGGGCTGAGGTGAGAATTAGGTGAGCTAATGCCGGCTAAGCACTTCAGGCAAGGCCTGGCCCATTATGAATGATCAGGAAATGCAGCAATTATTGTTATTAATAAGCACAATGCCATGCACAAGTGTAGGGCATTGCGATCTGTGCTTAACACATAGTTGACACTCAGGAAAGGTAATTGCTGGCTGTGAATGGGGATCGGGTTCAAATCTTTGGTCATGCTCTTGAGACAATAAAGCCACAGCAGCTGAGTCACTCGATCCAGGTCACAAAGAAAAGAGAAGGCAGAGATAGGCCCAGCGCTCCTGTTGGCAGAGCACAGATCTCTGCCTTCATCACCAGCTTCAAGGTATCTGGAGGGCCAGCAGAAGACACCAAGGTCACCTGGGTTGCCCTCAATTTTCCTGGCCTTTGACTAACACGGTTCCTCAAAGTCACGCCCACTGAAGAATACACACACCCAGGCTGGCACATGGGACTTGGGTGAGTGTTGCTATTTCCAAATCACCCCGGCAGCACAGGGATGTAGAAGGCCCCCGAGGAACAAGCACACACACCTCCCTCCCATTCAACCTCAGGACTTGGGGAGTGGGTATTAGGGAGGGTTTGCTCTTTGTACCTGCTCCCCTGGCATGGGGGTGGTGGGGGTGAGGTACAGGGAATGTTCCATCTCCTGCTTGCATCCTCTTGGCAGTGGAGGTGACTAGGGCACATTTGGCAGAGGGGTTCTTCTGGGGATTGTTCAAATGCCCTCAGGAGCCAAGCAGGAAATGTCAGTATGAGGATTCAGAGTACATCTGGGAGTGGTGAGGCCTGTGGCCAATTGGAAACTACACACCCCAGTTGAGATATTTATATTCGACCTTTTGTGAGACACTCCTGCTAAATGAAACTCATCTGCCATTTTGTAGCAATGCTACATACATAGGGTCCAGACATATTGAAGAGTCTGTGGGTAAGGAGAGTCCTTCATTTTCCTCCCATTTTACCAAAGAGGACCAGAGAGAGGCCATGCCTTCCCAAGCCCATACAGCACACCTGCAGTGCGCCTCAGCTCTGAACTCCTGCTGCAATGTCCTTCTACCACTACAGGCTATCTCTAGCTTTTGTTTTTGTTTTTGAGAAAGGTCTTGTTACGTAGCCCAGGCTGGCCTCAAACTTGTGGCAATCCTCCTGCCTCAGCTTCCCGAGTATTGGGATTACAAGTGTGCACCACCAGCCTGGTTCTCAATATGGTAAAGGACCTTGGGAAAGTCTGTTTCCCTCTCTTGGCCTCAGTTTCCTTCTCTGGGCCCTTACACCTCTAGACTATTTTGAGGAAGGAGAAGGGAAGGGTGGGGAGAGAAGAGTGGTGAGGGCAGAGGTGGCTCTGAAGGTTAAAAAGCCAGAGGAAGGTGATGAGAGTAAGGGAGACTTCTGTCAGCCCAGCTGCTGCCCTGATGCTGGGTGTGGAAGCTCATGGCCTTCTTCCAAGGAAGGCCTCATGTCATCTCTAAGGCAGGAACCATACCCCAGCCAACCAGATAAAATTAGGGCAGCAGTTTCCAGGAGTGGTCAACTGAACCCACGCACCCCAGCCGTTCAGTAAGTAGCATTTGGTTTCAGGCCCCCTCTTTCTGTGCCCCCTGCATCCTCTCACTTCCTGTCCCAGTTTCCTGGGGCTCCAAGGCCCAGATGCCCTCTTCTCACACCTCGTTCCCTGGGTGTCAGCCTCCCCCACTGCTCTGAAGCCACATCGGTGGCCGGTCTCCAGCCTGATAAGCAAGTGGACTGGAAGGTGTTCAGGGGCGATAAGGGGTGCATGTGCTGCAGGGCCCCCCAGGGACTGGGCGAGAAGGGAACTTTACAGTCTAAGTCAGGCCTTTGGGAGAAGTGTGTGAAAACCCCGTGCGACTTGGAGACAGAAGGTCTAACCTGGGAGCGCAGCAATGAGAGGAGGCCATCATCAGCATCATGGGAACAGCCGGTGCACGCAGGGCACCTCTACCCACAGCCTCTACCACAGCAGCCTGTGCACTGGATGCATCTACTGCCCCCATTTTATACCTGGAGAGAGGGAGGCAGAAAGAGCTGCCACACTCACCCAGGTCGCACTGCTGGTAAATCATGGCAGGAGGATTTGAACTCTGATTTTCTGGGCTTAACCACTAGGCCATGCAGAATATATAGTGCAATAGGGAAGGGTGGGCCTCTAAGGCAGGGTGTCGAGCTTCAGATCTTGGCTGTTTCTCTCCGTCCTAGCTTTCTGATCTGTAAAATAGGTGTGAAACATGGCACCTGCTCAGATGCCGTGGGCACTGCTGGCTTGTGCAAATCACTCTGCCCAGCCTTGGGTGCATAGTGACAATAACTACTGCCCACCCCCCGCCATGCCTGCCACTTACTAGCTGTGACTTTGGGCAAGACAGTTTCCTGGCCTGGCCTGATGTTCACTTGCAAAGAGTTCATTTGGATAAATGCTGTTCAGCCCTTCACGTCCATCCACATGAACAGTTGCCCCCTCCAGCCTGCTACCCACAGGGATTCTGAATCTGCCCAACCCACTCTGGCAGCTCCCCTGGCCTGCAAAAATTTGAGCACCAATAGTTCTGAAGCACCAGGTTTTGGGCCGGGCTCCCACCCTGTGCTCTCTCCAGCAAACTGGTAGGACCTCCACAGCTTGGGGGCCATCCCTGGAGCCCCACGCTGCCTCCCTCCCCTACCATTCCCACTCACTTTCACCCAGCAGCAGCCTGGAAAGAGAAAAAGATTTTGTTTCCCAAAGGGGCAGCCCAAGGTGAGATGTGGGAAGTGCCAGGGTTTGGGGATTTACACGGCCCTTGGAATCCTTTGTCTTCTTGTATCCCAGGTGGTGTCTATAGCACAGGACCCTGACTTGTAGCACATCAGTCTAGCTTTAGTAGTTCTCAAACTTCTGCGTGCATTGGAATCACTCAGAGGGCTTGTTAAAGCACATATTGCTGGACCCCATCTCCAGAATTTCTGATCAGTAGGTCATAAATTTCCAGTAAGTTCCAGCAAACCCTAACCCTAACTTACATTTCTAATAAGCTCTGATAAGTTCCCAGGGGATGCAGAGGCGACTGGTCTGGGGACCACACAGGGAACTACAGGCCCAGACTATTCTAAAAGTGCTTGTAGAGTCTGCAACTCTGCAATTAGTTAATATTCAGATCTATTCAGAAACCTCCCTGTACTTGTTCAGAATGCCAGTCTCAAGCCTCTCAACTTTGGAAGGTGTCCAGGGCGTGGGGGGGAAGTATTAGACCACTGTTTCTTCATATTTATCATGCAGCAATGAATGGAAAGGTTTTGTTTGTTTTTTTTAAATCTGACTACTATGGAAAATTTTAAGCCTAGAGAAAATACCATAGTAATTCTATGTACCAATTTCCACCATGGAACCAACCTTATTACTATCTTTCTCTACTTTTTATTTTCCTCTGGAACAAGGCAAACCTTTGATATAGAGCAATTTCAGTATGCTTCTGTAACTGATAGAGCCTTTAAAAAGCCATTATGCTTTTGTCATGCCTAACAAAATTAGCAACCATTCCTGAATACCAGACAATATTCATGCTATATTCAAATTTCCTGACTGTCTCAAAAGTATCCTCTTAGAATTGGCATGCTTGAATAATTTATTATCGTTTACATGGTCATGATTAGATCAAATGGATCGACAGGTTAAGTTACTTCAGTTTAACTCACCTTCACAAAGTAGACAAAGGGCTTAAACAACTCCTACAAAGAAATACAGATTAGAGGCAGAACAACAATGACAGCCGAGGGAAAACAAGAAGAGGAGAGAGAGCCTGTGCCAACCCTTTGCCAGTTGCATTCCAAGTTTTAAAAAAATGTCAGTCCAATCAGAATGGGCAGGAAGTCAACCAAGGTGATTTGAAATGATTAAGATGCCGAGGAATGGATTTGCATCCACTATCATCAGTGCTAACAGTGGAGCCCACTGGAGATTGACTAATACCATCATGATTAGTAGTTTGAAAATACATATTAAATACATATCTCCTTTAAATTTTTTAATTAATATGTATTAAAATGTACTTTTTTTTCTTTTTTGAGGTGGGGGTCTCACTATGCTGCTCTGAATTTCTGGGCTCAGGGGAACTTCTGCCTCAGCCTCCCAAGTTGCTTGAACTACAGGCACACTCTGTGGTGGTGAGGCCCAGCTTAGTACAAAAGATATTAACGTGGAAGTCTCTGAGGATAACATATGCACACAGAGCATGCTCAAAACACGGTGTGCGCAATCAGCAGTGTAAAGTTTCCTGGCCGATACGATAAGACAGTCTCCACACTGGTCTCAGGCCCCAAGCCATACCACTAGCTTGGAATGGCTTTCTCTGTAGCCCCAACTCAAGCTCATCATATTCCTGCTTCTTGCCAAGTCAGCAGAACAAAGGTCAAACTCTTTACTTAACCTCATGGATCCACCACCACCTGCTTCCCTCTTTAGGTTCTGGCCACACTGCACTCTTGAACCGTGGCCCAGTTCACCTCATGTGTGTGCACACAGAGGGCTCCTATTGGGCTTTTGCTCCTTTCCCGACTCCCACTGAGCCTTCCAGTCTTGGCTGGACAGTCACTTCCCTCCAGAAGCCCTCCCTGACAGCATCGTATTCCCTCCTCTGTGCTTCCCTACAAAGTGAGCTTCTGAGAAGACTATAAACCTATTTTAGCAACATGGTATAGAGGTGAAGAACACAGGTTCTGGGGCCAATCTTCAGGTTTGGATGAGTGTTCCTATACCTACCAGTTATGGGACAAGTAACTCAATCCTGCTGTAATAAGAGGCCATGAAACACAATGTTTAAATGAATGGAAATTAAAAACAGGATGTCTATGTTCAAATTGCTAGCTGAGCGACTTTGGGCAAATCACTAATTTCCTGATGTGACAAACAGAGGTGCTAATAAGCCCTACCTCATAGCATTGTTGTGAGAACTCAATGTGAAGCATTTGAAATGGGACCTGGTACAGAGTAAGCACTCAATAAATGTCAGCTCTAGTCTTCATGTGCCTGGAGCCGTCACTGGATGTAAGACATGACTGAGAGGAGAAACAAATGAATGCACCGAATTGTAATGAATATTGGATTGGGTTAAAAAGAACCAAAGTAAAGTGAAATGCATTAAAATTGTACCCCAATCTTGCTTGTCTGGCACTGAGAGCCAGCTTGGTAACAGGTGTAGATTCCCTCCCTATATCATGTCTGTCCTAAACACCTCTGCAGGGGTTCCTGGACATCTTCCTTCCCTTTGTGTCCAGTGAACTAGTCAGTTCACGTCACTTAGGAGCAAGTCAGCACCCAATCAGGCTAAGGCTACATCTTCACTTTATGGACAGCCTAAGGAGGACCACCCACTATCATAAGCAACTCATCAGCCCACTGAGATGCTTGAGACACATCTCAGTTTTTTACAAAAGCAAAGTCACACCACTGTGGACATCTGTCTTGTCATAGTTGTTCTCATCACTGTCTGGGGATGTTTTTAGCTGCACATAAAATAACCACCATCCTACACTCCCCTTTAGCCATTCCTCCTGGCTCAGATTTGCAGACAGAATGCAGACTTCCCAGCTCCTAAGTGAGAAGAAGGCAGAGGAGACTGGACAGCGGAGTGCAGAAAAGAGCCACAGACACCTCCTAAAGGGAAACGATTTTCAGCTAAAGAGAGAGACGTGGGAGGGGAAGCAGAGAAGCAGAGAATTAAGACCAACTTGGCCCAGGGGATTTGGGGAACACAAGAGAGAGGGACCCTCGCTCTGCATGGACAAATTCAGGCAGGCTTCACAGAAGAGGTGATGCCCAGGCTTCTCCTAAAGGACTGCCTGCTTTGCTGGCTGGTCCCTGGTACAATCCATGGAAGACGAAAGAGGAATCCCTTTCCTCGGGAATTCTGTGGAAAGGAACAGCTGTGCCCTTGAGAACCACAGACCTCCCCCGTCCCTGGGCCTTACTGGCTCTGTGACCACTTCTTCAGCGAACTCTCACCTTGATAGGTCCCCAAGAGCTTCTTATCATTTGGCGAGGCGTCATAGGAGGCGAAAAAGGCGAAGATGAGAATGAGAGCTGCCTCCAACGTCAAGACCCACAGGGGCAGGCAGCAGCGCACAGACCGCGGGTAGCTGGAGCCCATCCTGCGTCCCTCTCTGCACATGGTCCGCCAGCGGCAGCCTCGTCCGCGTCCCCGCACCCACTTGAGGCACCGATAGGGGAGACACGCGCCAAAACCTTATCTCAGGCCACAAGGCTGGCTTCGCTGGCCTGTCTGTGGAGTAAACATGAAGCAGAAGGACCAAGAGGGGACAGGAGAAGTGATGCATTCATTCGGCATTATTAATTCACCCAGCATGTAGTATCTTTGCTCCTACTGTAAGTCCTTCCTGTGCTCGGTTCAAAGGAAGGAATTCTGTTCACTCCATACCCAAGCACTCTAAGCCTCCTTTCCTCATTATTTCAGCGCATCTTCACCAATCCTTGTCTTAAAGTAGGGACTGGCTGGGCTGTGAATACAGCTCAATACAAGAGTACCTGCCTCAAAGACTTCCATCTCTAACCACACAAAACAAACAAAGAAACAAAAAATGCAAGGAATAGATCAACACTCCTATTTTGCAAAAGGGGAAAGTGGCTCCAAGGGAACTTTAAGTTGGCAAAATTTTGCTGTAAAATTTTACCCTAAGCTAGACATGACAGGCATCCGTAATCCCAGCCCTCTGGGAGGCTAGGGCAGGAGGACTGCAAATTCAAGGCCAGCCTGGGCAGTTTAGCAACTTCGTAAGACCCTGTCTCAAAATAAAAAATAAAAAGGGGCAAGGATGCCGCTCAACATGAAGACCCTGGGTTCATTACTTGGAGACAACAAAACATTAAAAACATTTTTCTGTAGTCTAACCCTATAACAGAAAGGGCATCCAATGAGTCCTTGTCAAGAGCATTTTGAATGAATGGAATCAATGAATGAGAGCAAAGTACTATACTAAGTGGTGGGGGAGATGCAGACAGGACTCAGGCAGACCTGACTGTTCAGGTAGCTGATTAAAATGACCTCTATATTTGAATGTATATTTCAATCTACTCATTTTAATGGTAGATGGAGATAAGAAAGAAGGTTTAAGTTTGGCTCTAGTAAAAACCTGCAGTGGTACTGACCAGGTCCTGTGCTGGAAGTTGGCCCCACCTCCGGATACCTCCTCACAGAGCAGCCCAGGACTCTGCCTGGGGCATAAAATACCACAGTGCATTTAAGGAAGGCCACCTGCCTTAGCACCCCTTCTCACAGCAGGGACTTGGGGGGCCTGGGATTTGACCTGACCCAGCAACTAACTTTTCCTATGGCTCTATGCGTGCGCTTAGCACAAGTTTCTTTTTTTTTTTGTACTGGGGATCAAACTTGGGACCTTGTGCTTGCAAGGCAGGTGGCGGAACCACTGAGCTAAATCCCCGGCCCAACATCTGCTCTTAATAGGTACCAAGGAAGGAGAGGAGGGAGGACAAGGTTGACTCCAGCTACTGAGTATACACTGAATGTGTGGACCCAGAGAATAAAGCCAGGCTAGGAGTGTAGGGAGGCAAACTGGCACTCAACACGAGTGGATTGACCTTTACTACAACTGTCCAGGGAAAAAGACGGCTCATGTGGTGGTGAGAAGTCTGTAACTAGATGATCGCAAGCAGAAGCTGTTGGTTAATTATTAGAGATGTCTTGGAACACCCAGGAGGATCCTGACAGTTGATCTATAGATGAAGAAATTAAGACCCAGAGAGGCCATATCCAAGGTCATAGAGTCAGTTAATATCAGTCACTTATTGCTCAGTACAGTTTTATTCACAGAAATAAAAATTGAGAATAATTTAACAGCCCAATAACAGGGGATTGGTTAGGTAAACAATAGGACATACAACTTGTCACTAATATGATGGTTCTGAACATATGCAAGAAAAGCCAGAGGAAAATGCAATTTATCAAAAGTGGCTCATGGTGGTACACACCTATAATTCCAGCTACTTGGAAAGCTGAGGCAAGAGGATCTCAAGGCTGGCCTGGGCAATTTATTGAGACATGGCATATATGTATATTTACTAGCTTAGAGATAGAGCACTTGCTTAGCATGTTTGAGGCCCTGGGCTCAATCCCCAGTACTGAAAAGAAAAAAATGAAAAAGTCACAAGATATACTATTTGGTAAAAGAGTAAATTACAGAGCAATATGTAGTACAGTGCTACTCGGTTTATGAACTTCTTTCCACATTTCTGGTTACAAACTGAATTGGATGAGAATCATATCAAATTTCCCCATAAGGGCAACATTGAACCTAACCGCTGAACTTGATTCAGTTCTTGTACAATGCAGTTTGCAATCAGAATTGTGGAGAAAATTCAGTTTGTGGATCGGGGTACCACCATATATTCTCATTTTTATAAAATAATAACAATGTTAGCACATGCATAGTTAAAAGTTGGCTTCAAGCCCGAAAACACTGCTTACTTTTGTCTTACACATTTTCAGAGCTAACCTAAGCACTTACCATAGCCAGGCACTGTTCTAAGCATTTTGCATGTCTTAAGTTACAAAGAAGGAAACAGAAGCAGGGAAGAGTTTAGTGACTTGCCCAAGGCCACAAGGCTGTAAGTAGTAGGGTTGGAAATTTAACCTAGGCAGTCCAACACACCTGTGTTTAACCTCTTACCTCTAATCTGAATTACTTCTTTTTCCAATTCTAAAAGTCCAAAGACATGGGATTCCAAGCCCTCTGCTACCCCAGCAGCAAATATGGGAGAAGACCCCACAGCTCAGACATCTCCATTGTCTCCATGGTCACCTCTGGTTTTGATTTCTAGTCTCCTTCTGGCAGCCTGCACTGCTTATAAATTGAGTTTCTATAAGAAGGAACTCCTCTGGGCAGGGGGCAAATGAACGTGACCTGTATTGGCCTGGACCCAGGACTAGGTAGCCAAGTATCCACCTGCCAAGGGCACCAGATGTCTGCTAAAGCAACACCAAAGACTTTCAGGCTCTGCCAGCCCCGGTGGTGAGCTTACCAGCTGGCAAACTCAGCCGGGAGCAGCTGGCTCCATGGGACCCCCAGCTCCTGTGCACCCCCTGATCCTGCCCTAGCAAGGAAGGCGCAGGGACCCCTTGCTTGGCAGGGGACTCACAGAACACAAGGTTTCCACCAATAAAGGGACAGGCCCCAGACTTGGCCGCTCCAGCAGATCTGTCAGAGTAGAGCTTTTGCTCTTCTCCTCTCCTGTTTCTTGATGCCAGCTCGACTCGTTCTGTTTCTAGATCTACAAGGCAAGTCAGCTGGTGCCAAAAGTACAGGAGAGCTAAGCTAGATGAGTCCAAAACCAAACACCACAAAATGTTAATTGTTGAATCTAGCTGGGAAGCGTTTGGCTTTTCAGTTCTTTCAATTTGTTTGTGGGGGGAGGGTTTATATTGGAAACATTTTCATAGTAAAATGTTGGCATAAAGCACTTCGTGCACCTGCTGTTCCCTCTGCCCGAAATGCTCATCCAGTCAGGTGCCTGCTTGTTCCTGCCCTCACCTGAGATTTTTTTCTCCACTGAAAATCAAGTCAGGACGTTTCCCTGACTGCACAGTTTTTAAAAAGCAGTATTAATCCCCTTCCTCATATGAGGGTTCCTGGTGCTCCCCCAAATTCAGTTTCTTCATAGCACTTAACTACCATCTGTCACAGTGCGTACTTTCACATTTGTAGATCATCTGTAGAGCATCTGTAAATCATCCTTCTTCCCCTTCAAGACACTGAGCAATATGAGAACAGGGGCTTTTTTTTTTTCTTTTGGGGCTAGGGATAAAACTGAGGACAAGACACACATGAGATAAGCACTCTATTACTGAGCTATACCCCCAGCCCTGAGAACAGGAATGTTTGACTGCTGTAGTCCCTGTGATATCCTCGGCATCAGGTGCACAATAAATATTTGTTGAATGAATAAGTTACCATTTTTGGAATGCCAAGCACCAGACCAAGCGTTCTGCACACATGATTTCATTTAATCTCCCCTGTAAAGCTGAGTATATGCACCATTACCCCTGTTTTACAGTTGAGGAAACTGATGCCCAGAGAGGTGATGCCAGCACCTAAAGTCACACAGCTAATAAATGGTAGAGCTAGGACCAAACCCAGATCGAGCTGACTCTTGACTGCTTTGCAATTCTGCCTCCCAAGTGACTAAAGCACCCATAATCTTAGTTTCCTTATGAGTCAAGTAAGATGACCTGCTCTGCTTTTCTCCTGGTTTATCACAAATGTGAAAATGTCTAGGCATGACTGGAAGCTGTGTTTTACAAATGAAGGTAGGCAGGTGGCTTCCTGATGGAGGCATCCTGGTCTGAGGGACCAGCCACTCACCCCTAGAGGCAGAAACTCAAGTCAGAGAGCCCACCTCTTTCTCATGAAATCAACAGTTTCTGGAGTTTCTGTAAAACCGTGAACATGTGCCTTGCTCTCCTCTCCTGAGTCCATCAGAGTGCAGGCAGTGTCCAGTGACATAGGCACTACCTGGAAGTTTGTCCACACTAGGGTGTGACCTTGTTCTGGACATGCCTGGCTAAAGGGTACCTAAGTCAATCACTCATTCATTTAACATCCATGAGCTGTGTGGGCTTAGGCAACCTGGGTTCAAAACCTTGCTCCGCGATTCATTAGCTGTGTGATCTTGGGCAAGGCAATCAATCTTTCCGAGTCTGTTTCCTTGCCTGTGAAGTGGAAGAGATCAGTGTCAATCCCATAAAGTTGTTGTGAAGATTAAGTGAGGCAGCCCATTGTCAAATGTGTAGTACATGTTGCCGAAGCTTAGTAACCATTATTAGCACACAAATATGGCATATTTACTGTAGAAAACTTTGAAAATACAGAGATACATGTAGCTTATATAAAATGTTTGACTTTAATATTCCTAAAAATAGCACATTTTGTGCATGTATTCTTTCAAGCAATTTTCTATTCATGTGGAGTAATGTCCCTTTTTTCCCACGCAAACATGGGATGATACAGTATGTTTCCACAACACGAAAATCTTTCTGTGACACTATTAGCATGGTGGCCAAGAGCTTACGCTCTGGCAGGAGACTTCTACAGTTTGAATCCTAACTCTGTCACATACTGTGTGATCTGAGGCAAGTGACTTAACTCCTCTGTGCCACAATTTTCTTTTCTGAGTATGGTGTCAATAATAATCTCTACTTCGTAGGGTTATTATGAGGATTAAAACAGAATGTGTAGGTAGCTGGAGCAGTGACTACAATAGTAAGTGCCGTATATAGTCATTCTCCATGTTATTCTGACTTCTGTGGTGGTAAAGATGTGTGATAATCTGTTTGCACCGCCCTCTTTGTGGGATATCTGGGATGTTTCCAAACTGTCCCTGTTCTAAACACTACAGCAAACTCCCTCTACTGACAGAGTTCTCTGTGGAATACAGGTACCTGTGTAAGAGTTAGCTATCCTGGTGTCTGGACTTGGCTGTGATTCCCATAGGGACAAGGCTCCAGGCAGCTGGGCCAGCCCTGGATGGTGGGCTTTAGGTAACAGAAGCTGGTGAGCAGGTGGGGAGGCTGTTTCCTTCTTTGTGGAACATGATCTCTCTCCAAGGCCCTTCTGAGATCAGCTGAAGCCTAAAGGCAAATCCCACTAAGGATCTCCTCTGATTCCTGATGGGTGAAGTAGGGGAGCTGGAGTCGCTCTGGGAGGAGGCCTGCCTCAGGTCAGCCTGCTTCTATACCCTTAGAACCCTATAGGGTCATCTCTGGGATCAGAGGGAAAGGATGGCATTTGGCTAGAGCCAGAAGGGTTTCAGTTGAGGGTAGGCCAGGAAAAAAGAGTTGGTCTGGAGGAGCGAAAGAAAATGAAGGTCATCCTACCCTGCCCTACCCATTTTCTTACGCCCACCAACCACCAGATCACTAATTCTAAACCTTGATGCTAAATGCAGCTCCATAGCGTATGTCTGTAGCCTCAGGGATTGATCTTGCTCAGCTTGTGCTTGAGCTAAATCACTCTATCAAGAACCTCATTTTTGGTATGCCATTTTTTGAAACCTAAATTTTGTCTTCTGTACAATGGAGCTAACATGCTCTTCTTTGTAACATAGGGAAAGAAGTGGATCCAAAGGGGATCCTGACTCAAGCAAGGATGCCAGTGATTGGCCATCTGAATTGGGATTGGAATCCAGACCTCCAGACCTTTGGATTGCTTCTTCTCAGGTCATCACTCTGAGATTGTCTTTGACCTTTCTGTTCCCATGTAGCTCTGGAGCTCAGTCACACCTTCACATCCTTCCTACCCACTGCATACTTCCACCGCAGCACAGGATGCCCACATCCGGAGTCTTGACGGCAGCCTAGATTGTGAGTTCCAGAGAACCAGCACATGTCCCCAGTGTCTGTGTCATCTTCCTTCTGGATTACTAACCTGTCTATTCCACAGTGTGTCATGGTGCTATCAACAGAGACAAAACACAAAGTAGAAGGATCACAATTAAGGCCTCTCACCCCATGGGAAATGACTTAGCTGGCCCAGGTAATCTGGAAATTTGCAACATGGGGAGGATGGATAGCCAGGTAAGGGTCCCCATGGAGTCTGAAGCCAGGACCTAACCAACCTGTCCATGCTAATGCCTCTAACCATATTGATTAGGCCCTGCCTATATCCTCCTCCTTGGCAGCTGAAGCCTGTTTTTGCTGCTCCAAGAAGAGCATTCTGTTCATATCCTTTCTCAGTGACAGACAGGCCCTGGTAAAACTGTGAGCTCTCAGAGTTTCCTATGTTTGGCCACGCAGTGCCACTTTTATCAACATGTTGGAGTAGAGGTGAAGGATGAAAGATAAGTGTACTATTAAAGAGCAGTTACTTGCTTTATCTACCACGTCTGGCTCTGAATGCTTACTATCCTCCAAGCCTTAAAACAGACAGACTTGAGATAATCAGAGGCTCTGAGAGATCCGAGACTTGCCCAAGCTAGTAGGTGCCCAAGCTGGAATTTCAACCCTGGACTGAAAAAGCAGGCACCCTTGCTATTTTTCTAAACTACATTTCTGCAAGGCATGGATCTGATCCCCAACAAGCTTTTTGTCTAGGTGGATGGCTAAGTCTCATTTAAGAAACAACATGCTAGAAGGAACTTGGATAGAGATGCTGTGGGTGGGAGGAAGGCAAGAAGAAAAGCGTGCTTAAGAAGAAAGACTTGCTTGCTTGGGAGGCCTGGATAGGGAGGGTTAAGTCCCCATGGCATGTTATGGATGCCATAAGAGAATGGGTTTCCTCTTCTCTAGACAATGGGGGAGTCTTTGAAGGTTTGTGAACAGGAGAAAGCAACAGAGAACACTATTGAGAACATTGCATTGGTGTAACCTGTAAGTTCCTAATTGGCTTAAGTGTTGATTAAAGGGGGGTTCACAGCACTGGAAAAAGTCAATTGTGTCGCAGGACAAAACAAGATGGCATCGACTTGCTGGAGGTTTTTAAAATGTGAAGACTAACTGCTTCATTGTTGTTGAAAGGTTTAGCTGGTAAAGTCACTTGATAAGATATTTTGCAACCACCAGAAATATTTAAGAAGGGTGCATAATAACATGTAAAATGTTTATGCTAAGTAAAGTACAGGATACAAAGTTAAATTTCTAGTATGACCACTACTCTACTTTGAAAGTAATAATATTAGCCATGGAAGAAAATACGGGGCGGGGGGGAAGAAAACACAATATAATGCTAACAACGGTTGTGTTAGGAGATCCATGCGCGCCCACCCCCCATCCAAAACTATTTTCCTACATGTTTTTTCTGATATTTTCGAATGGCATAAAATACTCTTTTCTTCTCTTAAAAAAACTATTTGTTGTCTTTTCTAATTGTTGTTTTGCCATACTTATAAGGCGGGGGAGTTAAGGGAAGTAAGCAAACAGAAACGAAACACCCAGCACGTCGCCTGGCCCAACGTCGGCACTCAAGGAGAATTAGGTGAGAAGGGTCTCTGGTCCGGCGTCCTCGCCTCGCGGGAACCTCGCCGAAGCACGGACCTGTCAAGCATCCCCTTACCTGGGGACAACACGCCCGACAGCTCTCAGCCTGCCCCGCCGCGCCAGGACACACACCCTCAACAGCCTTGCACGACGTCTGGCGCACCCACGGCTCCGCCCCGTGACGTGACCGGAGGCGGAACTTCAGAGGCCCGCCCCTCAGCCCCGCTGATTGGCTGTAGCGCTGTCACCACGTCGCGGGAAGCTGGCTGGCTGTGTGTGTTATGTGTGGGGTTTGCTTTGTCATTCGTACCCTCCTCGCGCTCTGACGCGGCGGACCTGGCCGAGCGCTCCAGCTCCTGCAGAAAGAACCCCGGCGCTGCTCCCGGGGCGCTCCCTTACATAATGACATGATTGACTGAAGCACATGTCCGCTCAGAAATCCCGCACGTCGCAAACCCGGGCCACCCGATTCATACATTGTAGATGAGAGCCTACAGAGCCACACAGCACAGATTATCACACAACGAAACATAGTCCAATATCATGAGGTGTACCTTCGCAACTAGGCATAATATAGGATTATATTTATAGGGCCTATTTATAAGCCTCTATTTAAATCTCCTCTGATAGGCCCAGCCACGGGTCCAGGCAAATTATGATTGGCGCATTCTTCTGTCCTTCAAAGAGGCGGGTTCAATTGTCCGTTTTGCTTTAGTGGGTACTGCGATTGGGTGTCAGAGCCAGAGAGGCTTCTTCGATTGGTTCTTCGGGCCGTCTGTCGGAGACGAGGAGGCGGGGCAGGCGGCTGGCTGGTGCTGGGCGGGCGGGCCCCG